ATTAAGGTGAGGGCATATGGTTGATGGACTTCATATACCTGTATGAAACAGAACTAAAAAAACCTTGATTGCTTAAAGTGGGGTGGGGAGGCGGAAGGGGGGAGATACAATGGGGGCAATGTAAATAATGTACAATATCAGTCCAATTGGAATTGTCACTATGAGTCTCCCCTGTATCATGAATATATCCTAATAAAAAATTTATAATAAATAAAAAAATAAAGTTGAGCAAATTGTTTCCAAGAACCATCTTGAAAATACCCAACACAAAAAAAGGCTGGCAGAATGGCTCAAGTGGTAGATGCCTGCCTTGCAAACATGAGGCCCTGAGTTCTAATGCCAGTACTACAAAAAAGAAAAAAGAAAGTCTAATTTCATTGTACTTCTTAGTATTATGAACTAAAACTGTTTCATTTTTATTGGGTTTTACTTTGAATCCAATGCTCTGAAATTTTGCAATAATGAACACTACTGCCAGCCTATTTTCATTAACTATTTCAGGCATTTAATGGAACTACTTAATATAAAAATTCGTATTCTTTATTTCTGAAAATATATAATTTAGTAATTATTAGTTTACTGAGCCCTTCCTCTTTCTGTCTCCTCAAATTACTCAGATGTTGGATCTTCTAGACTAGACTTCTAAGTTTTAGATCCTTTCCAATTTTTATATAAATTGCTCTATTTTCTGGAAATTTTCTCCAACTTTATCTTCTACCTTTTCATTGTTGTTGTATGTTTAACTTGTTATACTTTTAATTTCCAAGAGTTATTTTTTTGTTCACTAAATTCTGCTTTTAAAAAACAACACAACTGCTGGGAGCATGTTTCAGGGATAGAGCCCCTGACTAGCAAGCAAAAGGCCCTGAGTTCAAACCCAAGTACCACCAAAAACCAGAAAATAGAAAGAAAAATTAACACATCATTCTTGTTTTGTTGATGAACTATCCTATTTTTTAACCTCTCTGAGACTATTAGTGACAATTTATTTTGAAATTGCCTTCTTTATCATTCCATATTCAATCAACACAAACAACTTTGCCTACTCAAAGTTACTGATTTTGTAAACAGGGTTCTTCACTTTAGAAGACTGGATTCTTTGGGTCTCTTCTCCTGATCGATCAAATTCTCCACAGATGATTGTTGCAATCTTCTTCCTGAAGACACGAAATGTGTTTTCTGAAGGATCCTAAGCCAAATCCTGTTTTTTACTCTCTGCATGTGCTCTCCCACCTGACCTGACCATGGGAGGTTGTAAAAAAAACTTTAGCTAACTTATTTTCTCTCTTCTTCTGGCAGAGTGAGGAACAATGGAGGTAGGCAGGCTGCAGGGTTGAGAGAGAGCAACAGATCAGGATCACTGGCAAGCACATATGGTGGGAGGAAAAATTGGAGATATGCAGAGCAGCAGAGAAAGTAAGGAGCCACTACAAGTCATGGAGGAAGCAAGATGCCACCACCAGTCATAGAGGAAGCAAGGCACCACCACAACTCATGGAGAACTCCAGATTCTCTACCTTCAGTCTGAGAAAATACCCACTTTTCCTACTTAAACAGAGTTAACTGATTCTGATTCAGGAAGGTAAGGAGATATCTAGATAGAAAGATAGATAGATAGATAGATAGATAGATAGATCATATATATGAAGAGTCACATGTTGAGCTGTTTGAAGGCCTTATACAATTTCTGAAGTTTGTTGTACCCTTAATCATTCTGAGAAATGAAGTCCAGTGTATCTTGGAAAATCCTCAAAGAACCAATGAATTAGCTATGTGGAAAGGGACACCATGTATCAATATATGTTGCTGACTTTCAATTATTCAAAAAAGATATATGAAAATTATACATTTTGTTTACAAAAAATGTAATAGACCATCAAACTGTGACCATGTTAGACAACTTGTGAGGGGAAATAATTCATGTTGTATATAACTAGTACCTAGATTCACTTCAGATGTCACTTCTAATTCCTACATTATATGTATGCTGAATCTACATCTCATTCACCATTAAGTTACGTAACATATCCCAAGATCCACCAACTCTCACAGTATCAGTCCTTATTGTCACAGTGAGTAAGTAGCAAATTTTAAGTGCCTGAAGTATGATGAATGGTCATATGAAAGAACAGCATGTATATGTGGCTAAGAGCTGCTGAAACAAGTTTCAAGTACAGCCTAGTTATTGAAAACATACATCTCCCAATGACCATTAGGAGATGAGGAAAAATGAAATATAATGGAAGAAGCAGAACATACGATAAAAATGTAGCAAAAATTCACTCATGACACAGACCTAAGAAGAAAGAACACACAATACTTTGTGGAATGAATCTTCTTTGTTTCACTGACAAAATTCTCAACCAACACTTGCCCATACCTAGTAACCCACAGAGGGTTAATGAGTAAACTGAACTAGTATAATAAAATCCTGTGATATCATGGCTGTCTGAAAAGGTAGAGTCAGTTCTTAATCTGATTCCTGCCACTGACTTTGGGTCAGCAGGTAGTTTAGAATGATTGCTAAATTCCATTGTGGTTGATAGGCCTTTGTACTCCCCACAGCAAAAGGTCTTATTAGCTGAGTTCTCTACAGATTTCCAGAACAAGAGTGGGAAACAGAAATAAGGATATATGGTACCACTGACTTTCAACCCAATCAATCCTATAAAGAAAATTTTTGAATGTATAAATGAGAGAACTTGAGATTGTTTCATTTAAAAAATTATGTTCGTGTTATATTAATGTTTATGGTTAGATGAGAAATGGCAACATTAATAAAACAAGTACTTTTTTTTGTTAAAATTTCTTCCTGAATTTAACTACTAAAAACCATGTCAATACATACATATTTTCAAGAAAAATAGAATTTAAAAAATGTAACTTTATAAATAGAAAAGGAAAATCTATCATAAAAAAGAAAATATATGAAAAATTAACAGGTTAAAAATGCCATATTGATTATTTATTTTTAAAATGTTTGGCCAGAGTTCCTTTAACTTCCTGCATTATTAAATGGGATAACATAACTGACCAAAATAAAAACCTTCATTATTAATATCATAAATGTTAAAAAGAACCCATAACTTATTAAAAAAAAAAGTAAACAGAGAAAAATAATGTATAGGAAAGGTAACTTGTAACAGCAGTACTACAAATGGTCAGGAAATGTGAAAAGATGTTCAATGTCACTAGTAATCAAGTATCAAGATAAGACATTCCATTCGTACTCATCAGACAGGCAAAACTTAAAACGATGGCTATGCCAGATGATTGATAAGAGCAGATGAAAACAGTCTTTCTGGAATTTATAATCTTGTGTGTAAATATGCTCGTCAAATTCATTAATGCAGAAACCATGCCTCTGACTAAATAAAGAAAACCTGTTAACTAAATGGCCAAGAGAAATAATAGTATAATGGTTCTATGCTAATATTTACTCAAGAATCAATGATAACATTCTGGAAACGACCCAAATATTCATGATTAAAGCACTGCTGAAAATTATGGTTTCTTCATACTCTGGAAAAATATACAATTATATGGAAGCCTGAGCTAAATGATGACATATTGATTCTAATGGAAATCCATGGCTGGGTGTGGTAGTGCAAACTTGCAATCCTAACTATGCAGGAGGCAAAGATAAGAAGATGGTGGCCTGAGTTTGGCCTATGCAAAAAAAAAAAAAAGCAGAAGACCATATCCAAAAAATAACTAAAGCAAAAAATAAAAGGGGGAGGGTAGGGGAGGATGGAGTCATGGCTGAACTGAGAGAGCTTTTGCCTAGGCAGTGTGAGGCCCTTAGTTCAAACCCCAGCACCTTCAGAAAAAAACAAAGCATACCCATGATATATTATTTTAAATGAAAAAAGAATTCATATTTCAAGGAAAAAGAAATAAATACCCAAATACCATATTTGCATATATAAAGGAAACAATATAAAATACAAAACATATGATGTTGCAAAGAGTGGTATTCAATATGCCATGATTGACAAAGGGGGATGGTGTGGGGAGGGCAGCCATCAAGAGCAGGAAGGAGGAAAGAAGAGAGTGGCGGGGCTGAATATGATCAAAATACATAATATAGATGTATGAAAATTGCATTATGAAACCCACCAAAAACTGTTAAAAAGGATGGGGGGAAGGGAAAGAGCTTAAGAAAGAGTAATATAGATGGCATGAATTTTATCAAACTATGTCATATATCTGTATGTAAATATCATAATGAATTCTCTCTTATAATTAATTTATACTAATAAACATTTTTGAAGAGCAATATAGATAATGAATGGAGGCAAACAGTTTTATTTCACATACATCTGTAATATTCACCTGGTTCTCAGGATCATGAAATGTACTCACTTATGAGTACAAAAAGTAAGCACATCATTAGTTCTTCAGATATAACTTCCGTGTCTTCTAATTCCCTAGCATATGCTTTAAAAAAGTCTTCTGCTTTAAGTTTGAAGTTTTTGAATCATTTGCCAAGAGGGTGGGGAGGTTAAGTCTTAGAAAAACATAGTTGTTTGGATAAATAGCTATCAAGTTTCTAGAAATGAAAAAGATCAGCAGGAAGGTGAATGGTTTGATATTTTGGACACACGAATCAAAAATGGTGCACTGTGAACCCATTAGAACACTGTTTTGGATCAATAATGCCTTATGTTGACTTCAGTATGGGTTTCCAAATGAGAGCTACCACACTCCTCTCTACTGAAAGTACTGTTAAAATAGGGTCCCATGTATCCTACTCAATGTTGGCAAATATACTCCATAAGGGCAAAATAGAGTAAAATCTAAATAAGAATTAACAGAGAAAAATTTTAATGTTAAAACAGTTTCCACCAAATGAGGGAAAGAAGGACTGTGGTTCACTTTCATACTACTTCTTTTTATGCAAAATATTTAAATTTTTAATTATGGTAGAGATATTAGACTTAGGCACAAAAATGCACATGAAGAATATTAACACTTGGCTTAAAAATCCCTTTTCGTACCTTCACATTATCTGGATGGAGCCCCCCAGGGTGCTTGTCCATGTACTGACATAAATCAGTGTGCTAGAAAAAAAAAGGGAAAATGCATTAATATCCCCTAGCTATAACATGATGAATCAATATTTTTCTACTTCAAAGTCACCATTACCTTCTGAACAAAGCAAATATAAGACAAGTAGAGGATTTTCTAGTGTACGCAGTTGCATGTTCCCTCATCCCCGATTGTAAGCACAACCTTTAAGTTTTATGTTAAACCTGTCCATGTATTTAAAGGAATACATATCCATAATTTGTTCAATGTCTAATTTTCTCCCCATTGAATATTGATCCCTACAAGAAAAAATAATTCACTTGCAATTTTATTTATCTCATATTTTCCAACTTCAAGTGGAAATTTGTATTATTTATTTTATGAAATAAAACACTCAAACAATTATGGTAATAAAATTAACCACTAGACTGCCTTAAATTTTCATATCTATACTTTTGCTTTCCAGAACTCCTGAATACATTTGAGTGAATGAACTTTATAATTTAAAAGAAACACTTTCAAAGTTATAACTGACCAAAAGACATCCACATGTATGTTAAAGAGGATATTCTCAGATAACATCTTATACTGTTGTTTATTTACATAAGGCAACTTCAATTTGCCAACAACTGTATTTCTCTTACTTCATTTTCTGTTTATATGATGAATTACACAGAGTTTTTGAAAATCATGTAGGGTTACTATCCAAATTTTTCTTCTCTTATTGGAAGGTACTATACAATTTGCAAGACAAATAATCATTTTGAGCCTCATTATTAGGATTGAATTAGTGAGGAATTTCAAGACTTATAACATATTCAAGAACACTGCACCAATCATCACAACAACAATTCAAATGCTGTTATTTCTATTGCATGCCAGATGGGAACTGCTGATGATATTGAGTAAAATTCTAATCTTCATTCATTCACCTGTACTACTTGAGCCATTTTTAGGTTCTAGGCACGACACTAATCATTTAAGGTCACAGAATGGGAAGAAATGGACAAAAGTGGGAAGAGATCAGACATGCAGTTATGATCATGTATTGACTGAGTTTACATCAGGGAGAACCTAATATGGCTTAAAATTTTCAGAAAGTCCTTTGGAAGAAGTTAGTTTTAAGTAACACACTGAAAAACTGTTAAACAACACAGCGTACAATGAAAAGGCGGAGGAAGAACAGTGGAAGGAGTTAGACTGATTTAAACACAATATATTTATAGGTAAAATACCAAGGCAAAATCCCCACTGAAAATGAACAGACATAAAAAAATGAAGGACAGGAGTGTAAAACACGTTGTGTTAACGGAGGACACTAGTGGGAGGAAGAAGGTAAATGAAGAGGGGAAAGGAACCTGTACATGGCTGATATAATGTCCATACATGTATGAATATGAACAATGAAACCTGTTGAAGTTATTTTTTTATTGTTGTGCTGGATGGGGGTACAATGTGTGGCATTTACAAAAGTTCTTGCAATATATCAATATATTGTACTTGAATTCTCTCCCTCCACAATTCTTTCAGAAGGGGGATGGGGTAAGAGAGAAAACAATGGAGCAGATGAATCAAGCTGGAATACAGTACATGTATATAATGGAAATGTCACAATGAAACCCCCTGTATAAATATCATATGCTAATAAAAATGTCTTTTAAAACAGAAGACATTGAGGTGTAAAGCCAAATAAAAGAGGACAGAAGTGTTGGTAGGTACGGTCTCAGACAAAACTGCTTTTATTTAGGACCATACCCAAGAAGGTTAGCTCTCAAACCAAAGTCACACTCTGCAACAGGAGAAACTGTGTTTGATTTAGAAAAAATTGTCTAGGCAGTATCCTACACACAGAAGGAAAGCGATACAGGTAGAAACTGTTTTACATATAAGATAAGATCATTAAAAACAACCCTAAAATATAAGTATAGTGGGCTTCATGGACTTTTTTTTCTGAGTAATTATTTCATGATTTAAAAACAAATGAATTTAGGGCTCAAAAACGCCACTCCATAACTGCACATTATTCATGTCTGTATCCTTTCAAATATAGGTAAAACTACTCTCAGAGAAAAGCAAAAAAGAACATGAGAACAGTTGTTTCCGAAGAACACACAAAATAGTACATGAAAAAGTGCATTTTACTTGTAAGAAGATTTTAGCACATAAAAATAAGGTACTATTTAAACACTGCCCAGTAATACATTAAGACGCATAAGGGAAAGAATGATATTTAATGTGTTCAATGCCTCACATAAAACAAACAACATGTTAAAAAGAAAAAGCACATCCAGTCATATCAATACTCAATGCTATGATCTGATATGGTTTAAGTATGTTCCCTATTCTTGTGCTGGAAGCATGGTTCCCAGAATGAAGTGTTAAAAGGTAGCATTTTGAAGAGACAGACCCTTGTAGAAGGTCATAAGACATCGGAGTATGCCCTTGGAAGGAACATGGTAGTGCTTGAGGAACCCTGGGAAGTTTCTCAAGACCATGGGATACTGCTTTTTGTTTTGTTTTAGTTTTAGACAGGGTCTTGCTATGCAGCCCAGGCTGGCCTTGAATTCACAGTCCTTCTGCCTCTGCTTCCTGAGTGCTGGGATTACAGGTAATGAACCCCCACAACTGACTGACAGCTAGTTGTAGGTCTGATCCCTGAACCACAGCTTAGCATCTAGCTTTCCATACATGCTTCCAACATAATGCCCTAAATCATGGTTGACACAGCTGGGGCTGAGGTGAAGGAGTTGGCCCTTGACAGAGCGAGCATTGTGCTATTTGTACTTTCAGTCTCCAAAACTATGAGCTAAATGAACCTCTTTTCTTAGTATCTAGCCTCAGGTATTTTGTTATAGTAACAGAAAACAGACTAACACTGTAATATATCCATGATGTACTAAAATAGTTATTAAAAACAAAACCTCAACTCACCAAACAAAATCAAAATCATAGTTTTCTAAATACAAGAGAGGTTTGAAAATAAAGAGATATTTTATATTATATTTTTTACATTTTGCTTTATACTGTTATACAACAACAAAAAGGAACTAGATATTATAATTGTATTAATAAATTTCTGGACAAGTGTAAGTGATAAGGGTCCCATAATCCAATAAACTGAGAAGTTATAAAGAATGAACAGATGTAATTTGTAATTTAGGCATATGAAGGAGAAAGAAACAGTTTTAATGTAGGTAGAAGTCTTCTTATTACCCTGGTCCCTCCTTGTACTTTGAATTCACCAAACATGTGTTTAACACTTAAGTACCTAACAATAGGGCATATCATTATAAAGCAATATTTAATACATAAAAGGTAAGAAAATGAGAAGTTCCTCAAAATCTGAAAGGATTACTGTCTTTTTTCAAAAAACAAATGGAGTTGGCAAAAAGTAAATCCACAAAAGGTACAAATACCACAAAAAATTATAATTTTTTACTTCTAAGCCCAGTAGACTTAAGCTGCATGTTTCTATGACATAGTCATAGAAATTGACAAGTATTAGGGAAAGAGAAAAATCTCAAAAAATCCTAGAAAGCAGAAGTCATATTATACTCTTTCCATATAACTGAATAAAATTTATATCAAAGTATAGTATATTTCATCAACTCAACAGATACAATTCTTTCCATTTTTGATAATGGAATCATACCATTATTTGCTATTCCCCAAGAAGTTGTTGGGATATAGTTGTCATTGCCTGTGTCTAAGAAATGTTTTATCTTTCTCTACTTATTTTTCTCGATGACATGACTTATTTCCCTCCAATGTCTACCATGGTTCTGAGTCAAATCCCTTTCCTCCCTATGTTGTGCTTCACCTTGTTTTCCCACACCTCCCTTCATCCACTTCATCACTACTACTGTTCTTCAGGATAATGCCATTAGAAACGAAGTTCTTCTTAAGTTCCTGAATATCTAGGAACAGCACACCAATATTCCATGGCATGGGTGCTTCCAAAGGAAGCTGCCAAGCCTGGCTAGACTTACAGACTTAACAGATGACAATGGGAATGCAGGCTCAGTCCACACCCAGATGTCTTCTTTTCCTCACCTGATTACTCAATGGGTTGCAATTATTCAGTTGTTTACAAAGGTGCAGGGATGTTTCTAGTGGAAGGAATCTGAGAAGAGCATCTAAAATCAGAAACCCCTGGAGGATAAATATTTACTGTAAAAGAATTTTCTGTGTTTAGAATTTGCCTTTGCCCACATTGAACTGAATTCTTATGGTGGGACCAATTTAGAGAGAACACTTCCTTAGTAAAATGGCAGGACCATAGAAAACTGAAATGACGTTTTAGTCATAAGCACTTTCACTCAGTTGGGTCTTGTTGAATTTCAGTCAGATGTAGGTCTGAGAACCACAGTGACCAGCATTAGTGATGTGGTACACACAGTCATGAGGCTTAAATGAAGCACAAGAAAGAAAACTGCAAAAATAAATTATGTACATCATGACAACTTTCATACAACCTGAGTGGATAACAGCTCTTTAAAACAGTACCAGGAGAGAGAGAAGCCAGCAGAAGAAAAGGATGGGTAGGAGCAGAACTGTGACATTCACCTTTTCAACTCCCCATCCCTTTCCCTTTTTGAATCGGACCTGGGTTGGGAGAAAGAAGCAATATATCTCCACATAAACCACTGGTAAGATTATCTGAAATGCAGGCATCCTCTTGGACATGACATTTTGCCCATTTTCCAGGGCAGAAACAAGTATATATCAATTGTTAAGTAGGTCTCACCATTCATTATGTATTTATGTGCCTTTTGATTTTATCTAATTTCTTAGTCATGAAGTTGTTCAGTGGTTGACCCTTCAAATAACCAAACGTGTTCAAGAGGTATTACATTCTTGAGAGTGATTCTGCTTTCGCAATAACCTTAGCTTTCAGAATGGACTTTCCTCATTAAGCAAATAAAGCCCCTTTCCAAACACATGCATTCATTTCTGTCATCTACGAATATTAATATTTTGTTGGCTAATTCTGATTTCCTACAGAATAGTGCCAAAACGGGAGACTGAAAAC